CACCTGGTGGAAGGTACGTGGGGGACCCAGGGTTCTGGAGCTCAGCGCCTCATGCACTGAAGGGTGGCTAGTGTCCTCCCAGGTGAGACTGGGTGCAGGTTGAGACCCCCCCCCCCACCCCCCCCGGCAGACTATGCTGCTCCTTCCAACTGGGGTGTGGGAAGTACTTTGTCATGTCTGGGGGCTGGAAGTCCTCAATGCTGGGCTCTCACACTGGTGCCTCCTGCTGCGCCCCGGGGCAGCCCCTTCCCCCACCCACGAAGTGGCAAGGAATCAAGGGCCCAGCAGGGAAGGGCTCCTCCTGCCCATGCACTTAGGTATTCTGGGTGTGGGAGCTTCTGCCCCCAGGAGCCACTGGCCTGAGAACCCCTGCAAGGAGGGAGCTTTCCCCTGGGAGATCCCCAGATCCAGAAACCCCAAGGCAGCAGCCCCACCCGACCCGAAGGTCGCCCCTCTGTGCGAGGCCCCCTGCATCTGGTGTCTAGAGTGGCAGGGTGGGGTCCCCTGGGACCTCTCTGGCCCCACTAGGCTCCCATAGGCCCCTAGTTGCGGTGGGGGCTCTCTGCAAGACAGACCTGGGGAGGGGCCCAGGCCTCAGTGGCTCAAGGCGTCTCCAATTGTCCTGGCTGCAGTGACTTGGGAGCCGACGCCCTCACTGAGGTTCCAGGAGCCTCCAGCGGGAGGAGCCAGTCCTCTGGAGCTGGCGCTGCTGGTGCTGTATCCTGGACCCGGCCCCGAGGTCACTGTCACCGGGGCTGGGCTGCCAGGTGTCCAGGTACCAGGGAGGTGCATGGGCAGCCCCTGGGCCACCGGGAGCCCTCACTCCAGGGGAGGGGGCACGGAATTTTAGATAGATCCTCACTTAATGGAAAGGCTGCAAGAGTCAGGTTTGGAACTTTGAAGGGGTGGCAAAAGCAGCAGGCAGAACCAGCTTGATAGGAGGCAGGGGTCCGGCAGAGAAGGGCTTGGCATGGCGGCGCCCCACCAGCCGCCATCTCCGCAGAACCTCTGCCCGTCCCGGGACACCCGCTACCTGGCGCTGGCCGTGGACCGTCCGGCGGGGGCCTGGCGCGGCGCCGGGCTCTCCCTGACCCTGCGGCCCCGCGGAGACGGTACGCTCGCGCGGAGTGAGACGGGAGGCGGGCCGGGTGCCCTCGGTCCCCACTCCAGAACCAGCCCTGAGTCCACCCCCGCAGGTGTCTCCCTGAGTACGGCCCAGCTGCAGGCGCTGCTGTTCGGCGCCGACCCCCGCTGCTTCACGCGGATGACCCCGGTCCTGCTCTTGCTGCCGCGGCCCGGGCCTGCGCCGCTGCCCGCGCACGGCCAGCTGGACACGGTGCCCTTCCCGCCGCCCAGGTGCGCGCAGGCCNGGTGATGGGCCATAATAATCATATACATTGTATATTGACAAAATAAAAATTTAACGAAAATGTAAAAAAAAAAAAAAAAAAAAATTCCTTTTTCAAAACCCAGCTCAGAATTCAGTTTCTCTCTGAAGGCTTTGCCCTCTCGTCTCCCACTACCACAGGAAGAGTTAATCATAATTCCTCTGTGCTGCCTCTGTACTAAATATCTACTGTTAACGTTTATCATGCTGTATTGGAAGCAGGTGTGGACATTTCTGTGTCCTCTGCTAGACTCAGAGCCCATGAAAAGCAGAGTCTACATCTTCTCATCTTTGTATCACAAATGCCTAATAGCTCAGGATGTCACATAGCTGGTCAATCAATACTGAGCTAAAATTACTCATTTGATCAGGTACTATTGTCAAATATTGCTAGAAGATGGCAAAATGCTCAGCTAAACTTACCTAATTACTTCACCTGTGCCTCATGTAACATGGTTTCAAGTCCTTTAAAACTCCTTTACATCTGCCTGGAAAAGACTGCACATTGTCCAAATCTCTTTAAAATAGGCCAATCAGAACTGAAGACAGGACTCCAGATACAGCCATATATGGTGAGATTTGACTAACTCTCGCCTAAATATTCTAAATATTGCACTCTTGCTACAGAGCTGAAGATCACATGTGCATTGCTGGTGGCTGCTTCACACTGTTATTTAGCATACTACATTTGCCTGTCAGCTAAGACACAACGCCTCAGTCCTTGCACACTATGAACTTTGTCTTCCCTTATGATATTTCATCTTGTTAAACTACATTCATTCTGTATTAAATATTTTTCTTACGTAGTTTTGAGAAAATTGACTATCAACAGAAAACAGAGGAGTAATCACTACCTCAGTAGCCAGTGTAACACAAGGGGAACAATAAAAAGGAAAGATTCTCCATCCAATATTGTATAATAGGAAGAAACAGCACTAAGCTTCCTTCTATTTTCCTGAAACAGAGTAAAAATCTGTTATCTCTTATTTTTTCTCCCACTTTCCTTTATACATTTATTCATTTTAAAAATACAAATAACACGGGTGTTTTAAGATAAAAATGTAAAATTAAAGACACTCAATAATCTCCTAATCCTGTCAATCCCACCTATCAGAGATAAACTCTGTTAAGAGTTTAGTAAATATATTTCTAAATCTTTCTTTATAATTTTTATAGAGTGATAGATTTTTTTTAATGAGACTGTATTGTATCCATTATTCTTTGTAACTTTAATTTTAAAAGTTATTATGGACATATCATGACTTTAGTATATACAGATCTAGCCTGTTCTTTCAAACAAGCTATAAAGTCACAGCCCAGGTCTGCCACTTACTAACTGTGTAACACAGGACAAGTTACTTGACCTCTCTGGACCTCAGTTTCCCCTCATCTATAAAAAGGGATTATAATAGTACAAGTCTATATTTCCCTAACCTCAATTCCAAAATACCAAAAAGCTCAGAAAAAAACAAATATGTTTTCCTAAGATGATGCCCAAATACATTTAATGGCAAGGCCTGATTGAATTAACATGAGAGTATTTCTGGCTTTTATTTCTTCTACTCAGTGTTACTATTCATATGTTTCCCTTTAGAAATACTAATAGGCTTGCATATGAGGTGCTTTCCCAGACCCATTGTGGAGATTTCATGTAATATATCCCATATGAACTGATTACCTAAACTCCAAAAACTTCTGAATCCTGAAACACATCTGACCCCAAGCGTTTTAAATAAAAACTTGTGAAGCTATACGTACTTCATAGGGTTGCTATGAGGATTAAATGAATATAGATGGCACCTCAAGAAATGTTAGCCATGATGATGATGATGATGATGATGGGTCACTCTTAGAAGTCCTTTGCCTACTCAAAGACCTGTTATATTTTGACCACTCTACTTATGTTACCTAAGGATAAATCAAGATAATTCCTCATGCATTGCAACCCCAGATAAAACATGGTATTGTGGAGGACTAAGTAAAAATTAAAAGTGTAGCTGAATACCAATTTAAAATGAAAGAAACTTTCTGGCCATTTGTACCAGAAAAATTAGATATGAAAAAAGATATCAGTTATGGCTTATGCAAATTTATCTATAACACTGCCAGGCTTCAGCAATGCAAAGCTTAGTAAATTACGCTTGCAGTACCTAGATAATAACTAATGATAAATAAACTCAAGGGTCGCTATTATTTCACTATCAGTAGAACGTGTACTTAATTACAAGAATTTCAACATCAACCTGCTTTTCCCCAGAATTGGAGCCCAGCAAAATTCCAACAATGCATTATTTCACTCTCTTTCTCAAACCATCTGTGGTAATCTATATTAGCGAACAAATACCAAACAGAAGCAGCCAGATTGGGGTTTCTATTGCTGTAAATGTTTTCTCATGGAAGCTTAAAGAGTGATAATAGAGATTCCTTTAAACTTCCTTTCCAATTCTCAAATTGGTATGTTTTAAGTACTTCCCCTTAAAAGATCTCAGTAGTACTAAAGGCAAGTAGTTAACAGGCTTTACACAGCACAAATTCAAAATTCTTCAAGCCCTTTAATTTTATTCATGTGGTTATTACAATCTCATGTTTTTATTGACTTTTTAAAATTTTGGAATATCCATTTTCACAAATTGTCATTATTTGAAGAGCTTAACAATATCCATCTTCAAATTCACAACTTTATCTATAAAAATACAAATAACCTAATGTTAAAAGTCCCCAGAGACTGACAGAGCAGATAATCATTTACCAGTCAGTCAAGTGGTTTATGCAAATCCTAGTGGTTTTCTAGAAGGAAGCAATGCTTTTTCAGTTACTATTCAAATACTTTTGTTTTTATCATGAAGTATTTTTCTGAAAGAAAAAAAAGAGAGAGAGACACTTTCCTGGATAACAGGAGTCTTTGTTTTGGTTTGGTTTTTATGTTTTCATGCTTTGAGCTCCACATGAAAGACCCAGAACTTATTGTGATGATATGTAAATGTATATATATCACAAAGTAACACTTTCACAATCACAGCCTACAGAAGGAAATGCAGGGAGCATGCATTGCTCTGCTTGGACTACTAAATTTCACTCGAAGACCACAGGCTTGGTTAAGAACAGGATTCTCTTGTTACTCTGAGTCACTGAGAGAGAGTCAGAAAAATCACATCATCTCCCTGAAATCCTGTTTTCTACTATCAAATAATGAAACTAACCACCACCTAAGCTAAATGATGTTATGGCCTCTCTGAAAGGATAATATTATAAAATATGGTATAAGAAATTATCAGCACTGACTTAGAATATCTTTAATGTTTATCTTCAGATCCCTAGAAAATGAACTTACCCAAACAAAATGCAATTCTCTGAGACAAGAGTGGTGAAACTTTAAGAAGCAAATCACCATAAGCTAGTCTTCTCTCAAAGTGCATTGCCTGCTTTTTTTAACAGCACAGAAGATTATATGTCTTCAACAGAGGTTTTTAAAAAATTGTGAGGTTTACTACTTCTACTTGAAAAAATTAATCACACATTTTTAAAGAGTCATGCAGGATATATCAAAAACCACTTTCTTAAATTTTTATAGCTCTGCTCAATAAGAATCTACGACTATGCTGAAAGGTAAGATGGGATATTATCAAAATAATTCACTTTGCCTAAGCAAATGAAACCATCAACTTGGGTACTTCACAAGGTGGGTGTCCTTTTATATTTGTGCAAATGGTCAAATGTCCAAAAGACAAAATTACACTCTAACTGCACCGATTTGATATGACTGCACAGACATGACAGAAAAGACCTGGTGTGAACTGGTTTCTTCTTCCTTGGCTGAACTACAACAATTTTGCATTCTCTAATTTTGTGTGTGTGTGTGTGTGTCTTTCAGATCACATTAAGAGGACGGAAAGAAATTCAATGACAGAAATTCAGATTCTCTGAGAGAAAGCTGAAGTTTTTACAGTCTGATCATAGAGAATAAATGAATGAATATGGGAAAGAAACTTCAGGTGGGGTTTTTGTCAACTAATGATAAACAATATATGTGGTTCTCATATCATAAACAGCAATGAGATGCACATGATTATGAACTTTAAGACATACATGAAACCAGCAGAAAATTAATCACATAGCAGCAGGCTCACCCTGGATGAGTGTATACATGCCTCCAACTACATTCTGTACCGCAATAATATACAAAACACCTTGAGGCTTAGTATATACATATGCCATTACTTTAGAGACCTACCAATACAAACAAGAAAACAAAGGAAGAGACAAAAGAAATAAAGATGAAGTCAGAAATATAAAATAAAACATATCTTGAATAATTAATAAGTACCTTAACTCCTCTGCTATTTTTTTATCAGGATGAGATAAAAACAGCATCAAAAAATACACTGTACTTCAAGTTACAAACTTCTACCAATAAGCCTCACCACCAAAAAATTTGATGGCATAAGCATCTAGATTTCTATATGCAATCCTCTGCAATGAATATTAAAGGAAGTATTTGGGGGGAGGTGGGAAAGGCTTTGCAATTACTGTTGACTACAAAGCCTCAGAAGAGAAATGTATTGTCATCCACATAGAGGCCTTAGAAGAAGGTATGTCTTAACAGTTATACATTTTTCTTTGACAAAATCTCTTTAAGGAAAAGAGAAAGAGAACACATCCATATAAAAAACTTCATATAATTTAAAAATGTGAGTTCAGTACATGCTTACCATGAATATAGATATCACAAATGCTGTCTTAACAAACACAGATCTAGTTCCTTCCCTAAAGAGGTTTATAACTGACATATTCTATACAGGACTCCATTTTTATAAGAGGAATGACTCTGATGAACGACTGCATGATTATTTTTAAATTAGAGCAATATGGAATTGAGAGAAAGTATGTTAAAATGAAGTTTCCCTAAAGAGGTTTATAACTGACATATTCTATACAGGACTCCATTTTTATAAGAGGAATGACTCTGATGAACCACTGCATGATTATTT